AAGGAGAACGGCAGCAGGTCTCTGAGGACCTTCACGGGTTCACAGAAGAAAGGGAAGGCAGGGAGGGGGTGGGGGGGGGGGGGGGAATCAACAGAAATCCGCAGAGAAATATGCGCTAGGGATAGGGCCGGCGGTTATTAGTAGGTATATGTAGCAATTCCCTCTTTACAGGCTAAGACAATCTACAAAAGGGAAATGCGCACCAACTAGAAGGAAAAAGAAAAGCCATGCGGATAGGCGAATAATTAAAAGGAAATAAAAATAGGAATGCAGGTCGATTCTTTCTTCGCCTTTCATCCCCCCGTTGTTCCTATGGATCATCCTGGTTCGTCGTTTCAGAACTGAATAAAAAACCTTTTTAGCACTTTAGTCGGCCTCAGAAACATTTAAGAGCATTTTTTACCTTTAAAAAAAGGACATAGCATAATAATATTTATATGTATAAACATGTATAGCGATATATTCATTGGATATATAGAACCTCCCCAAATGGAAAATAATAAAAGATAATTTCTTATAAAGGTGTTCTCTGCACACCGAACCCTGTCTGCTGTCCCGTCCTCAACGCCGCGTAGGGGTCCCGTCCGTCGTCGGCAACGACCTGGGTCTCGTGATGGTCCCTCTTCTGGCGAATTCGTTCGTAGCTCTCCTGCACCGCGCAGAGCGTCAAGGACATCTTAACGTCCGTCTTCACCTTCTCCACAAGCTTCTCCATGAACTCGTCGTCGTTTTGGAAGCTGTCGGAGATGATCCGCACATCCCGCGCGGACCCGCCATACTCTCGGAGGGAATTCATATACTCCTCATCCTTGATCAGCTCCCGCTGAATCGCGAGCAGCCAGCGATGATCACAGCAGGCGTGGAGGATTTCGTGGTAAATCTGCGGGTTGAAAAGGCGCCCGCAGGCCGTTGGAATCGCTGAATGGAGCCCCGCACTCGCCTGGAGGTGGTGGCCGCGGCGGAGCTCCCAGCCCGGGCCTTCGCCCGGGCCGCCGACGGGCAGCTGTCCGGAAATGCCCCTTCGAGGCCGCGCCGCGAGAGGCTCGAGGTCCTCTCCGCCTGATGAATTATTCCACCCCACCCCCCGTGCGAACCCCATCATTCGCCGCATTGCACGCCACTTTTTAGACAAGAATAATAATCACGAACCCAATCCGCGTCCCCTGGCGCGATGGGTCGCTAATCCTTCCCCGGTTTATCGTTTTTCTACTCGTCACTTGATAAGGTATAACAAATCTTAAGAAATTAAAAAAAGTTGTCGCCCACTTTCATGCATGTGGTGTAAAAGTCTGGCAAAACAAGGCATTCTAAAGGGTAAAATGCAATCATGTTACCACTTACCCTTTCGGGATGCTTTATTCCACTGTTTATGAGCAATATAGAAAGAAAGATATATAACCATTCATCAAAAGAATCTACCTCCTACTACATTTTCGCTATCTAAGCTTAGATTACGCGGTGCATGGTTTCTTTAAGTCCAATCAGTGTTGGGAAGTCCTCAGCTCTCCAGGGTGCGCACGAGTGGGTTGAATACAAAAATCTCCCCATGGAGTATAATAAACTACAACTATTTAGCGACAGCGTCCACCTTTTTTTTCTTCGTATTCCTCTTCTTCTTTTTTCCTCTAATTGTGGATTTCCACTATTACCCTTCGCCCGTCCAGTACGAGCTTTCGTCTAGTTTGTTTGTTTCTTTTTTTTTCACCCCAGACTTTTAGCCACGTCTTTGTAAACCCCGCGAAGGTCTTTTGGAATTACCGATGGGATTCCATCGGAGGAGCTCGGACGTTCTTTTAAGGAAGAAAGGGCGTTTTCGCGGTCGATTTTTTGCTGGCGTATCTTATCTCTGTGGACTCGCCAGGCGGTGTTATTGGTTTGCTTTTCGATGTAGCCTTTTCTAAGCCCTAACCAGGCAACAACGAAGTAGGAAAAATTACGAAACTGGTGAAGAGTCTTCGGGAAGGCCTTTGGAGCTGCTGACGACATCGACAATAACGTTTGGTTAGCGCGCGAAAGGGTTTATGTGAAGGGAAAGGAATAAACAGACTAAAATCGAAAGCTAGTCGATAAGAAAATAACCTGTCAAATAAATGTAGAGAAAAAAACTTTTTAAAAAGTAAATTGGAAAAGAACAAATAATAATAATAATAAAGTCGAAAAAGGCTTCTGTAGTTGTCATAAAGGACTCATACGATCACGTTAAATAGGGATCCCCATCAAAAGCTGCGTCCTTTTGGTTCAGTTCAAAATATATCGGGGAAGTGGTATGGAATACCCAAAGTATTCTAAATACTTGGCCTTTTTTAACGGATAAATATTAAGAGATAAGAAGAAATCAAGGAGTACCACACAAAAGCCTTTTGGAAGAAGAATAATAAATGCCCTATTTTTCCAAATCAGTGGCGGAAACAAACCCATGAGAGAATGGTGGTGGAAAGGTACGCGATCTAACAGGAATCTCAATTTGGGTTTGATTATCACAATACCCCATAAAATTACCCCGCATAATCCAGTTAATACAGCCAATGCCGAAGACGCAAATAAGGAAAGGTTTAGCGAAGCTCGTCCAGTGCATATTGTACTTGCTATTGCCAAACCACGAACCCGCCGCCCCGCCGTACTGGCCCATATTACGCCATACTTTACTAGACCGCAGCATCAACTCCAACGGTGGTAATAATTGTAGGAAACTAAAAACCAAAACTTTAGATTCTCCCTCATGGAAATCTAAACGGGGTAGGCAAATCAGGCAAGTAGTCTGATCACAAAAAAAAAGAGAGACCCTTTTACTTTTCATTTTTAAGAACAAAATAAACACAGAATGGGATGGGGAAGAGTAAAGTTAAAGCATCAGTTCTGATAATGTTAGCGCCAATCATCAAGTATGAAATTCTAAAATATGGAACGCATTCATTTGAAGAACTACACTGAGAGATCAGATGGTACTTTATCCGAGGGGAGATAAATCTTTCTGTACATCCATGAATCAAAATAAAATGCACCCATACAATGAGGATAAAAAGGGTAAAGGGTGAAAGAAAAAACTAATCAATGTATTGTAATGATGAAAATAAACAAACATATAGTAAAGGTAAATAATAACAAGCATCACACACCATGTTCCTTCTCCCTTTCTCTCCCACACACACGCTTATATATATATATATATATATATATATTATTG